GGCCCCCCCCCCCCCCTCACTCAGAATTTTTTCCATTCAATCAAAACATTTGAAGTGCTCTCACAAAAAATCCACTCCAGTATGCAATATTTATCGTACAACCAGTTGTACGGTAGTGTTTCTCGTACATACGCGGTGAGTACTCGTTTACGAGTAATAGAACACTCATTTTCAAGCAACATGATGCTCATTTTTGAGTAACTGAATACTCATATTTTTAAAATTCAGTTATGCTCGAAAATGAAAATTCAGTTACACGAAAATGAGTATTCAAGTGGATGTCTGTGAAATATTGTACATCCGGATGTATGGTATAAGTACTCACTTGAGTATCCTCAATATGAGTGTCAAGGAACCAATCCGACCAAAAGCTCAAGCTTGTGGTCGTAGCGCAGAAATAATTTTTAATATTCTAACACGCTTCCTTTTCGTGCATGTGTAGTTTTTTTCAGGCCTTGCCGTGAAACCTTAATTTTTTTAAGGTTTCTGACATGGTGAGGTAGTCTAGTTGTGCCAGTGGTCCGGTTATTGGAAAGAGTACAATCCAAATCCTCAACGAGGATCCATTAGAGGACAAGTCCGATGCCAGCAGCCGCGATGCCATGTGAAGTAACCACTCCAACCAAATCCTCAACCGTGCGGTCGTAGCGCAAGAATGGTTTTTTATATTCTAACAACGAACAAAACGTAGTGTCTACGACGTAACTCATAATCCAACTAGTTTGAGTATAAAAATAGTGGAATGGAGCCATGTATGGAGGTGAAGAGGAAGAAGGGGGGGAATACTCACAGTTCAAGAGCTCGGTAGTAGTTGATTCCCCCGGTGAAGCCGGTCTTCTCAAACTGAGCCGCGTAGTAATCCAAATCTTCTTCCGGCAACCAGGGAGGAAGAGGACTGGCGGCCGAACCATCTTTGATATTAGCACTAAACCCTTTGCCTTTAGGGAAGTAATATGGCTCTCGCTTGCGGAACGCCATGAAGTTTTTCATGCATTCCTTCACCCCCACAGGGGCCAACTCTGCTTCAATCTCCCCTGCTTCCTGTACAGCTCCCAGTTTTGTAATAAGAATAAGTAATACTCTCTCCGTACGTCGAACAATAAAGTTCTCGTTCACTATTCACAGGGTCAAATTTTATTCACCTTGGTGGCCTATTTTCGTGTTTTATTTGATAGATTAATGTAGTCATGTCATTTCTAGTTTTGTAAATCTTTAATTTTCATGTAGTTTTTAAATAGTGAAATTTACCTAAATAGTACTGAAATATAGTGACTTTCCTGATGTTGTACCATGCGTTTTTATTTTCCAATGTAGTACCACTGCAAAATATCCACTGGTCATTGTTCAAGTCAATGTCTAGCGCCATTGGACATTGTTCAAACTAAACATTGTTCCCGCCACTAGACATTATTCAAGTACAATTTACGGAATAAAAAAGTTTAAGTACTACATTGGGAAATAACTAATATTTTGGTACTATTTAGTGCAAATTTCACTTTTAAATATGTAATTTTTATTTTTTTAATTCCATACCATTTTTTCATATAAAATGATTTGAAAATAACTTCAGTCAAACTTCTAGACCTGGTAAAAAATGACCCGACCTGTTTTTGACCCGAAACCCGACCTCAAAACACTCGGTTTTGAACAAAGGTTTTGATGACCGAACCCGAAGTTGACCGAACTCAAAATGACCGCTAAAAATGGGTCAAACCCGACCGAACCCGAACCAGACCTGATCGACCCGTTAAAGTAAGAATTTTTCAAAATCATACATTTTACTACTCGTTTTTAGGGTACAAATTTATATTTTCAAACAAAATTTTAATGATATTGCATAATTATCTTACTTTTTTCCAAAACTCAAGCATTTTTAAATTCTTTATATTGATTTATATATCTAAAAATTACTTCAGAGTTTAAAATAAAATAATTTTATAGATTTAATACATTTTTTTTGATATTTTAATTTTATTTAATAGAAAATGTAAGTGTTAATGTGAATTTAAAAATTTTAAAAACCAAAGTCATAACCCGTTGGGTCGACCCAAACCCGATGATATTGGGTCATGAACATACAGTTCTCAATCCAAACCCGGATTGACCCGAACCCGATATAACCCGAACTTGAAGTGACCGAACCCGAACCTGACATGACCGACCGATTTGCCAGCTCTAGTCAAACATCGTAACACGGAAGTTGAGGAGAACATGACCTAAGGCTCCGTTTGACACACGGAATTCAAACTATGGAATTTGAATTGGAGACAATAATTCCAATACCTCTATTTGGAAGTACAAAAATATGTGGACTTGGAATTGGTACTGCCAAAAATGAATAGGAACTAGAGAATTCAATTCCATCCAAATCAATTCCATAGAATTTCAAAATTCCAATTCTATCAATACCAAACGAACGACTCCAAGTGTACCTGGAATCTGCAGATGTAGAGATCATCTCCATAGGCAGCTCTCAAGAGATCAACCAGGCTGAGGTTTGGGTCCCTAGGGATGTAGTGAACACTGAGGCTCACCAGAGCCCACACTCTATCTGGCCTAAACTGGCACAGATGCCAGGCAATGATTGCCCCCCAGTCATGCCCAACCACAAACACCTTCTCTGCACTCCCCGGGGCTACGGCCGCCAGGAGGGCCACGAGGTCCCCCACGACGTGGAACACCGTGAACTTGGACGGGTCATCGTTGGGGGCCCCCGTGGTGCCGCCGTAGCCCCGGAGGTCCGGAGCCACCGCGCGGTAGCCTCTCGCGGCGAGGAAGCGGATCTGGTGGCGCCAGGAGTACCAGAGCTCCGGGAAGCCGTGGAGGAGGAGCACCAACGGCCGCCCCTCTTCCCCGGACTCCGCCACGTGCATGTTAATCCCGTTCACCGCCACCGTCCTGTGAGCTATCTTCTCCATCTTTTCTTCTTCTTCTTTTTTTCTCCAAATTTTGAGTCTTATCTGTAGAAGCTATGGTTATGATGGATAGCTTTTATATATATATAGAGAGAGAGAGGAGCTGGGTTTGGACATTTGGTTCTAACCATAGTTTTAAAAATCGGACCGGACCGGCCGGTTCGGACCGTGAACCGGCGGTCCAACCGGTCCGGTCCGGCACCTTGGACCGCAACTTGCATCGAACCTTACGAACCGCAGTGAACCGGAAAAAACCGGCCGGTTCGCTGGCCAGACAGTTTTTTTTTTTTTTGCAATTTTTCGCCCAAAAATCTCACCCCATAAGGGTTCGGAACCCAAGACCTCCTGCTACCAAAGTTAAATGCCTAACCATCTCAGCTCAAGTGTCTTTGTGTCATAAGTAGTGAAATTATTAAAAATTATAATGTAATAATTTTTTACAAATTTCTAAAGAAAAGTAAAATTCTTGAAATTTTTTATATTATAATATCGATACTAAGTTTGAGTCTTAATAACTATATTAACTATCTATTACAAATATTATGCAAAGATTTTATTTCAGTGTTTTTCATATTAGATAATTTATTTGAAAAAAATAAAAACCAACTCTTTGTTTATAAAATGTTTAATATTGTTTTTTAAATATGTAAGTTTTATTTTTTAAACTTAGTGACATAACTGAAGTAAATTATTATAGATTTGGTCAAATGTTATACATTATTTACTCTTAAGTATTTATAAATAAGAGAGAGAGTGTGTGCCTATATATATATATATATATATATATAATTTTAAAAAATATTTAAACCACCGGCTCGACCAGTTGAACCACTGGTTCGACCAGTAAACCAGTACCGAGACCGGTTCGGTCACCGGTCCGGTTCTGAAAACTATGGTTCTAACTTATGATTGCTCACTCATAATGACTTTTCAATTGTACTCCGTACAAAATTATACCGACCAAATTATAAAAATTGGATATAATTTGGATTTGTTTTAGGATATAGTTTTAATATATCAAATTTTTATATCATTTATTTATTTAAATTATACTCTCTCCGTCCTAAAACTTTCTTCCCACATTCCCTTTTTTTCCGTCCTAAAATTACCTTCCCATTAGAAAAAAAGGTGACAAATGACATTAGTACCCTCATGTATTTACACCAATTATCTTCTAACTCCATATTTTGAATGATTGCAAAAAAAAAGTCAAAAAATCTTTTTTAAGGAGGGTAAAATTTGAAGTCAAAGCCAAAAATTAAAAATGGAGAAAAGTCAAACTGAGAAGAAAGTTTTAGGACGTAGGGAGTAGTAAAAAAAAGTGTCACTGGTTGACAAAAAAAATCAGAACATGAAAGATTTTTAGGACCGGAGGGAGTAGTAAAATGGAATGTAACTTATTTTTGGTACATCATGATAAACTTTTAATTGATTTTTTCGAGGTGTCGTAATAAGTAACATTGACAAATACTCTCTCCGTCCTAAAAAATTTTTCCCGTTGCGCAAAACGAAGAAAAATATCATGTTTTTTCAATCTATTTTATTTAAATATTGGTATAGAAATAAAAAATAAAACATACATATTTAAAAACTACATCAAAAGTTCAACAAAACAAGTGGTGACAAAAATATTTTATTTTATCATATAGGCCATGAAAAAACACAAATAAATATAAATTTCCGTGAAGTTGGAATAGTGCTCTGGGAAGAAAGTTTTAAGACGGAGGGAGTATTATGGGAGCAAATGGAGTATCTTTATTGCACTTATATTGATATTTTTAGTAATAAAATTATTTAATTTCTGTTCCAACTATCTTTAAAAAAAGAGGCATTCAAACATTTTTTTGGCATGGAGAAGAATCAATAATTGAAGTTGGGTTTCCGTATAAATAGACACGTGATTGGAGTTTATTCTTTCCATTCACAAAGAAAAACATCTTAGTTACTATTCACGCCTTAAATTTACTCCGTATTTTATTTTTATTAAACATTTTTATCGATCATTTGATAAAATAAAATAATCTTGTCAGAGTTTACTTTGAAGAGTAGAAGTTTTGATATATTTTATTATATACTAGTATAATTTTTATTTTTAAAATTCTACACCTATTTTTATTTATATTGATTTGAAAATAATTTCATGCAAGCATTGTAAACCGAACATGAGCCTTATTTTGGAACGGAGATAGTGTATGAATAGGCTCATTTGAGAAGAGTTCCACTGTGTGCCTTTAGTGTTGTTGTGCAAAGATTATTTAACAATGATGTTTAATTAATCTTTTTATTTCTTTTTAAATGATAAAATTTATTATTATTAATCATTTTTTCTTCTGTACATAAATTTTAACTACACAATTTGATCTTTTTTAAATTGAGTGTATAGTCAAAATGAAAAGATTATTTATGAATTAATAAAGTACCGAATAACTAATAAGAATTCTCAACCACCAACAAATAAGGGGGTTGAAGATGGTACATAGAAAGCTTAGACTTATAACAAATAGTGAAATTTGCACTAAATAGAACTAAAACATAAGTCATTTTCCAATGTAAGACTTAAATTTTTTTATTCTCTAAATAGGACTTAATAATGACTAGTGAGAATAATAATGTCCAAGTGATGCTGGACATTTAATTGAATAATGACTAATAGATAATGACCAATGATCCTACATTGGAAAATAAAAACATATGGCCTTATTTTGAGAAAGTAATTATGTTTTAGTCCTATTTAGGTAAATTACTCTAACAAATATATATATACACGAAAGGTATTAGCCCGAAAAAGTACCTTCTAGCTAACAAATGAGGGGAAAATATAATTATAAAATTATATGAGAGAATATATAGTTAGAAAATAATATTCCATAACCTATAGTGATTTTTCATTTTTACATAGAAAATTTCGAAAACTTATGAAGAAAGCAAAAAAGATTTTACTCCGGTAATATTAATGTTCATTTGAATAAGTAATTATATATTCCTTTCATTCCAAAAGAAAACTTCACAATAAAATCAACATGATTGTTAATAAATGTAAAATTATGATAAGAGACCACATAATTTTTTAATTTAAGAAAAGTGAAACCATTTTTTAGAATGCCAAAAAACAAAAGTCCAACCTATTAGGCTATAACCCATTTAGGAGGGGGTAATTATTAAGAAGATTAGCAATGACAAGGCAAAAATGAAATGTCACACGGTGACATGGATTATTTCAATAAAAAAAAATAACTCAGTCATCGTGTGACAAATGAATGGAGTGTCGTAACATACAGTGGCAAGTCATTATTTTTGTCTATTTTTGTACTTTTTAATGATTTTTAATTATCAAAGATTATTTTACACATATATTTTATTATTAAAATATGTCTACTTTAAAAAAATATTTTTTTCAAAAATTAATAATACTCCGTATTAAAAATATTAAAAAAAATAAAAAGTGAGAGAGTCATGCCTTGCACATGGAATGAATGGTGGGTTGGAATGGTCATGGAATGCCATGATTTAAGTGTCATTTGCTGACATGGTTAGACAAGGCATTGCCTTGCCATAGTGAATGCTCTAATCTAAAAATAACAAAGCTATGTAAAAGTACAACAGATTAGAATTCAGTATATTACTCCCAAGAATGGCCTGAAAGGAAAGAGCCTGTAAATTGACAAAAGAAACAAACTTATTTTAGCATAGAAGTGTTACAATTCTCCTTCATTAGGTACACAATCACTAAGCTAATAGTAACAGGTTAAGGGGTGAATAAATGGATACACACATCTGCAGGTTGAAGAACACTCATCAAGTTCTTCTAAACATCTGCATTTAGTATCACCTAAATTTCTGCACTAATTGATAGTACATACTCGAACAAAACGAACTCGAAAATGCGATTTATACAATGAGATGTTAGGGACTAACAGTAGACCGCGAACCTGCTAATGCTTTTCACTCTAATGACACTCCAGTTTGCAACTCCAATGGCTTCGAAAACTGGGACTTTCTTCGCTTCTTACCCTCCGGAGTGCATCTAGTCCCGTTGCACACCTGAAAAGCGAATCTATGGGTTGAGTTGTTGGATCCGGGAGGAGATGAACTACCGGGGCGGTTCCCTTTACCACCCCTCTTGCTCTTCTCACCTCTAGGATGCCTTTTCAGAGCAGAGGCTTTCGACTTCTTCTTTGTTGGGGATTGAAGGTTTATGTTTTTCCTCGCGTTAGCGCCCCTGCGGAGGAGTCGGACGTAGAAGGGGTTTGCAGCAGTGTAACCATTTGACTCCCCTTCGGCTCTGTCCTTTTGCAAATCCACGTCTCCGTTATTCACCTTTGAATAAGAAAAGATGAAAAAAACACTTTTTTTACCTCAGTTAAAAAAACCAGTTAAAAGCATTCATCCTAGTTCTGAAATAAAGGGTGCGTGTGTGCTTACTAGCTGCAGAAGTGCAGAGAATGTTCGAGCAACATCGTGCTTCTCTTCCCCGCTGACTATATCAGAAAATGAGACGCCATTTCCACTCTCTTCTTTCAAAGACAACTTAGTCAAGACCTTATTGCCATATTCATGAATATCAAAAGTTGGGCGCAATTCCTGTCATGGAAATATACCCATGGGTTAGGGTGTGAGAGAAACTTCTGAAACTTAGTAAAAGTCAATGCACAAACTTGTTCATTCAGGTTCTGCTCAATCCTCTGCTTCCATGTTGAAACCCTGGTAGCCATTTCAGTCTGGTGCTCACTTTCAGCAAGGTTTTCAAGAAGAGAATCCTATATGTAGCAAACAAGGTTAGCAATATTGTGTTTCACAGGAGGTTTATGTTAGATCTCAAAAAAAGCCAAATCTACAAAATATTCGGCAATAATGCAAGGGGAACTGAATATAATATGTTTCCAATCCTACAATACCATGGGAGTCCCAAACTGAAAAAGAAAGCACCAAGCTCTTGTATGAGCCTAACACCTACTCCCTCCGTCACGTAAAAATGGTGACACTTTGACTTCACGGGGTTAAAAGTGTTCAAAAGTAAAAAGTGTGGTTAGAATTTGTTTAAAGAGAG